TCTCTCTCTCTCTCTCTCTCTCTCTCTCTCTCTCTCTCTCTCTCTCTCTCTCTCTGTCTCTCTCTCTCTCTCTCTCTCAGTCAAACAGGTGGCTTTCTCAGCCTCTCTGTTGGCTTCAGGCTTAGGAACTATCGGACCATTTAACACTGAAACTAATCTGGTCTTCAGATACATCTTCTCAAACATTGGGAATGCCTACAACCCAAACACAGGTACTCAAATCCAAGCATTTCAAATGAGTTTTAGGTTTTTGGCTTTGCTGAATTCAAAACATGATCAACAAACAAATATGAAGTTTCCTTCACTGACAAAACATTTCCCACAGGTTTTTTCATTGCACCAGTGAGAGGAGCCTACCACTTTGAGTTCTACGTATATGGTCACGGAGATCCTTCACACGCTTCAGCTGCTGCGTTGTTCAAGAACGGAGAGCATGTTTGTATTGCATATGAACATCAGACGTCAGGTGCTGGCACATCTTCAAATGGTGCCACACTGCTTCTGGAGGTCGGAGATGTTTTGTTTTTGCGTTTGTGGGGAAACTGCAAGATATTTGACAGTGTAAATCATCATAGTACCTTTAGTGGTCATCTGCTTTTCACCATGTGAATGGGAAACCTTTTTTCTTGTGTGTGGCAGCTCTTGTTGAAAAAAGTGTAATTAGTTTTTCCTTAATGTGAAAGCTGATAACAACACTGTACAATACACTTTTTAATAAAACAAATGTTTGCTTTTTTTTTCAGTTTTGTTGATTTCCAGGAAACACACAGCGATAAACAGAGACAGAATACTTGCACCAGATTTTCAACATAAAATATGAGGTGCAATAATTCATGAGAATATTTAGTTATTTTTCATGAATTTTCAGAATTCCCTTAATTTACATCACAAAGTCGAGAAACACTAAATCTAAATCCAGTCTGTTTTGCCTCAATCAAGATGACAAGGAGAATCTACACGTTAGTTAGAGCTCAGCATCCATCAAAACAACTTTCCTTTTCCTGTCTGACCTTTTCCTGTTTTAACTACTTGTTTTATAGAAATGTGAATCATTGAGCTGTTAATGTGACAGGGGAATTACGTTTGTTGCTTCAAATCCATTTCCCATAGCTGTGCTTTCTCTGTTTTTAAGCATCTCGACTTACACAAGAACTGTACCAGTGCCAGCAAACGAGAGTCTCATTGACAGAGTTTGTCCTGTACATGAAACCTGAACGACGAAGTTTCAAGGCAACAATCATCTAATAAAGTTAAATATATTGTTTTCATGTTCTCATACATTTGAATAAAAGCACAAACAAATCACTGCAATACTCCGTCAGGACTTTTATTCACAATGATGCTTTGAAAATAAAAGAACATGTTATTGTTCGAAAACCAATAATAACATAGAAGTGTCTTATATATTTCGAAATACACATTATAACATAAACCCCAATGTTCATATATAATAAGGAAATTGTTAGCATTTTATTGAAAGGTTCCATGTCATGCTTTTCCAGTTATTACCCGTCCCCTTGTGTGTTATGAAGGTTTTTATGCATGTAAACAGTCTGCAGAGTCAAGACCCTCAAAGTACACCCTGTAGGGCAGGGATATTCAACTGGCGGCCCGCGGGCCAAATCCGGCCCGCGGGGAGCTTTCTCGTGGCCCCTGGAACGCACTCCATATTCCAATATAAAAAAAAAATTCTAATTACAGAATTAATTTTTATAATCATTTAAATAAATTTAAATATATGTTCGCTATTATGTTATCCGAATTAAATGAGTCCAAATTATTTCTCCTTCAATAGCTCTTAAAAGGCAATCTTGCATTGGACTGATCAGCGTGTAATTATCGCGATATCGTGTCAATCTCGTTACTCTCGTTACTGATCCAAAATGAGCGGAGAGAAACGGCGGAAAATTGACGGTGAAAACCGACACTTCAACCCCAAATGGACTGATGATTTTGTATTTAT